TTGATAAGCAGTTATATTTCTTAGTTTAATTTCCATACTATATAGTCATGTAGAGTCTCTATAGTCTGACATGTCCAGTAATCTGACACTTCTGCTGCAGGGCAGGGCATGTGAAATTTTCACATTACTACATGATGTATTTGATAGAGAAGACTGAATCAACTGATAATATGTATATATTATCAGTTGGTAATTGTTTCTTGTTTGTCAAAACCAATCACAATTGTGATTAATACAATAAATAAACCTGTAAACCAAGTGTATATGTTACTGTACAGTACATACATACATACAAAATTTAGTAAGTCAACAGTCTGCTGTAATCCAACACACACTGGTCTGATGTCAGATTATAGATACTCAACTATAATTAATACCTTTCAAATCAATATTTTTAAAACAATAACTTTGAATTTATCACAAAAATGACTTACCTTTGATATTCCTAATAAGGGATGTTATCAATTTAGCAAAGTCATGATTTTGCATTTATATCACATGTATGGAGGGCTTATATGTAGTATATTCCAAAAGTGTGGGAACTTGGCTTAAAATTCCTTACCTTAAAAAGTTTATATTGCCGATGCACAACCACATTCAAAGTAATCACTTTGGGCAACGATACACTTTTGCCAGCACTCATATAACTTCTGGAAGCCATTTTTTTGAAACCACCTGTAAGGCTTCCTGCGATGCTGCTTCCACCTCATCTGATGACACAAAATGGCATCCCTGCAAATGCTTTTTCATTGATGGAAACAAATAAAAATCACATGGGGCTAAGTCCAGTGAATAGGCAGGGTGTGGAAGCACATTAATTTGAGTTTTGGTGAGAAACTGTGTGACCACTTGGGACCGATGTGCAGGTGCATTGTCATGCATAAAAATCAACGTTATAAATAATTCAGAATTTTATTCATGTCAGTGTACAGGGTGGACCAAAAAGAATATACGTATTTCAAACTGATATATTTAGTAAACTATCGATAGTAGCGGTGTGCTGCGGGTATTGGAGGAACGAGTGCATTGTCTAGTTTGTCCCCCAGATGTCACTTGTGCTTGGTTACAATGACGTATGGCTACGCCACAGCACAAAAGCTTTTGTATTCTTGAGCTTGCGAAGTGTAATTCCGTGATTACAGTGCAAAGACGTTTCCGGTTGAGGTATGAAATTGATCCTCCGAATGGATGGAACATTCGCAGATGGTACCGTCAGTTTGTTGACACAGGTTGTGTATGTAAAGGAAAGAGTCCTGGCCGACCTCGTGTATCTGAAGAAAATGTCGCACGGATTCAAGCTGCTTACCAACGTAGCCCTTCAAAATCAACACGTCATGCCAGTCGGGAATTGCAGCTGCCTAAAACAACAGTTTGGCGTGTTTTGAGACGCAGGTTAGTTATGAAGCCCGGACGGAACTCCTGCCTGGACCGTTGGATTGACGGGCAACTTGATGGACGGGGTCCATCAAGGACACCGTCTATGTTCCTCCACTACCACAGAACCTCGATGAGTTGAAGAACCGGATCCGTACTGCCATTACATTAGTGACACCGGACATGCTAAGTCGAGTATGGCAGGAATTTGAGTATCGGTGTGATATTGTTTGTGTCGCTGGTGGAGGACATATTGAACACCTGTAATCTAAACTAGAGAGTTTCATAAATATGTGTCCCAAGTTCCATAGTTGTATGTCTTACAGTTTATTAAATATATCAGTTTGAAATATGTATATTCTTTTTGGTCCACCCTGTATATTCAGTCTCAAAATTTAACTATTCAAACAGTACAATTAAGCAAACATTGTTTCCATCTTAGTGCCAGAGGGAAAGAAATTGTACTTTTTTCATTCCCATGGTCTCTGTTAGCAGCATAACATAAAGATTATTAAAATTATTTAGGAACTTTCTTTTTCAAATACTGGTGATATTGTTTACACTCTGTAGACTATGCTGTAATGACAAAGACAGGTGAGAAATAAAGAGAGAAATCAGAATCCCATTAGAAAAACAAGGTTACAAAACTTTAATATATGTCAGGACTAGTTATGTGCCGGATCGTTAAAAATGTATATCTGCGGATACACGCATTAGTGTCTAGATCCATGGATACAGCTTTGGATCTCAACTTTCATACTCAGTCAGTGCCGGTGCGTGTGACCTTGGATCAATAATTGATGCTTTGCGTTAGTAATGCAACATGTTTTGACTTGCACTGCACGTCTTTTTTGTTTATAGTTTAGTGTGACACGGGATAGCATAGATTACGTTTGTGTTTTTGGAGTGTGTTGAGTTAAATTAAAATGAAAACAATGTCGACAAAAAGTTTAGTAGTATAATATGGAAATATTTTACAATAGTAAATGATTTTTGCATGAAAAATTTTTGCAATATGATAAAATTGATAAAGATAATAAAAGTTTTGCAATATGAATGTGCCAAATATGTGATTTTAAGAAATAAAAAGTGATTTGAATTGAAGTTATTAGTATTTTATTGCTACCTATCTTTAAAATTTCATATAAGTAATGAAATTCATTAAGATAAAAGATCCATTAAAGATCCACTAAAAAGTAACGGATACGGATCTTTTTTCCCCTCGGCCGAATGTGCCGGATATCCGGCACATCACTAGTCAGGACAATGGAAAGAAACTTAAACAAATGTATTATAGAACATGAAAGAGATATAAAAATATTGAAGAAGATCCACAGCTTTGGCTATCTCCAAACAAGAATTACATACCAAGATGGCACAGATGAAATTTTTATTTATACCTAGAAATCAAAGAACTTCATTCTTGGCAGTGTTGAGTTAATTTCTCATGCTATTCACAATTATTGCAATCCTTTGACAACAAAACAGCTTTATTTCTAACTAGAAGGGTTTAATTAACAAGCTCTACATTAAAGGTAAGCACACCTCGTGCTTCGATCAACGCCACCTTACAGAGATGATTTTTTAATTAATTAAGATGTATCCGCAGCCTTCCCATAGCCAAATTATAGCCANGAGGCCCACACTCAGAACATCGAGTGCAGAAATCGCTGGCTGAAGAAGTCCATCAAGTCGCTCTGCACGGACAGGAGCCTGCAGAGCTACAACTGTACGTACGTGTACAGGACGCGGGTCCTGTCCCAGTTGCCAACAACATCAGCAAAATTCCGGCAGTTCATCGGGGACATCGTGGCTGTCTACCCGGGCCCCGGTCGTCAGGGTCTCCAACTCCAGACGATCGGTGTGCCCGTGGATCAACATCTGCCACCGGACGAGCCCTATTTCGATGTTCCCGTGCACGAGGGCGACAAAGAGGAATGGCAGGGGGATGACGACCGCCCAGTGAGTAGTGCAGCTTGTGTATATTGCGCGTGACCAAAGGATACCTATTTGCGGATGTGAAACCTGGATGGCAAGATTCTAGGACAAATGTAGCAAAATTTCGTCCCCCCCAAATTGTAGAGCCCCCCTGTGCGAGCATAAAAGTCAAAAGGACCATGCCCGTACGGGCGACCCTAAGCGAGATATAGGCCTCCAAACATGCGCCTACGTCACATCCGGTCACGTGACGCCGAGCCCAAAAGGGACGGCGTCACGTGGGCAAATTTTTTTTTTTTCGGTTTTCCCCATCTCAGTGTTGAAAAAAAAACCGCGCTCTCCCCCTTCCTTAGGCCCCCACGCGCGTTTTCTCCCTTCCATCCACGCTGGCGCCGCCGCCTCTCCTTGCATGTGGCCCGTGGCCCAATTCTCCCGCCTGCAGCCTTCCGGAGTCGCCATCTGTTGCCTGTAAATACAAATATCTATTATTATTACACCTCTCACCTCAGCCGGGGCTCGAACCCCGGTCCCGGCAGGCGCCGATCCAATTCTCTCCTCACCGGACCGCCAGGTCGCTCTGCCAGAAACAACTCGGAACTCATACTTGAGCCGTGCTAGGCCGAGGAGCGCACTGCGCATGACGGGGCCTCCAGGCGGACATCCCTGTCAAGCACAGATGCAGCGCGCCAAGGCATGCAGCTCCCCTTGATTGAGAAGTGGGAGCGGGCCCGTCGATCGGCCAATGGGCGGTCGGCCGCGGGTCACGTGACCACGGCACCGCCACCCGAGGTTTTATAAGTGTGTACGCTACCTAAGGCCCTTCGTACCCACTTTTTCTTTTAGCGTCTCCCGTTTTGGATCCCGCTGACATCTTTGAACATCTTAGGTCCTACACATTTAGTCGCTACCTCCCCACCGAAGAGGCTGCCCAGAAGTTTTGTCATCTTGTGGGGCTCGTTCCGCATCCGGACCTAACCGGTACCTTGCCACCGTGCCCTAAGTGCGGAGGCAATATGCGCAAGGTACCGGCTCCACCTGACAGGTTCGGATTCTACTACCGCTGCGAAAAACTGAATCAACAACGAACAGTTAGACGACGGACAGGCGGCACCGTCCGGAGGGCCCTGTGCACCGGTAGCCTGTCTTGTACCCACAATACATTTTTCGAACGAGCGAAGCTTTCAGCTACAGAAGTATGATATTGCAGTCGATCACGAGAAACTGGGGCTGGGAAACCGCCGCTTTGTCACAAAAGCGGTGGTTTCCCAGTCCAGTATTTTTCGGTTAGCGTTCTCTCCGTTAGCCACTGTATACCAACGTTAGCAGTCAACGTAATGACTGGAAACCGCTACTTTGTAAATAGTTGATAATTGTTTACAGTGATGTTTGGCTAAGCCATGCGAATAGGAACAGTTCGATTTTGATTAACGTATCGGTACAGTTGATGGAGCCCTGCTAACCGGAAATTACAGTATTGTCTCCATCACGCTACGTTCAGCGTTTGTGTAATTTGCTCGTGCCGCTTATGATAACCGATGTGTACAAGATGTGTTTTCTCTGTATTTTACAGGTGCTGAAGCTGATTTATTCGTGGGTCAAGCAGGAGCCGGTCACCATCGCCGCAGAGGAATGCAAGGTGGCCCTCGCGACAGCAGTAGATTGGTACAACTTCTGCCAGAAGTTGCGGAGGTTTTCGTCTCCCAAAATCAGGACATCAAGTTAGGTGGTGAAGGAATGCACGTCGAGGTGACGATCGGCGCACGTTTCAGAGTTTGCCGAAAAGTCTATGTCTATATTAATGTTATTTCGTTTTCAGATCGATGAGACCTTCACCAGGAGGCGAAAATACAACCGCGGCCGCGTAGGTGTAGGCACACAAATTACTATATTTGGTGCCTACTGTCGGGAAACGAGAGAGCTGATGTACTGGCATGTAAGTGGTAGCAAAACATTATTTCCTTTTTATTTGTTGTTATCGAGGAAGGTTCCCTGTTCGGCAGACATTTGCACATTTTACAGGAATGGTGTTATATTTTGTCGTATTATTTCAGGTGGACAACAAAAGCAGAAGAGTTCTGTGGAGCCACATGCTCAGATACATCGCTCCAAAATCCATCATTGTTTCCGACAGCGCGGCCCAGTATCGCGGTTGTACGGCTTTGGGCTTCTCGGGACATAAGATCGTCAATCACAGCTGGCGGGGCCCCGGGAGGTGAGAAGGATTAAAGTGTGCTATGTGTTAATTGAAAGGTATGAACGGGGTGATGGAGACGCGACATTTATGTTTTTTCTGTGCAGATTCGTCGACACGGATGATCCCGAGGCCCACACTCAGAACATCGAGTGTAGAAATCGCTGGCTGAAGAAGTCCATAAAGTCGCTCCGCACGGACAGGAGTCTGCAAAGTTACGCCTGCACATACGTGTACAGGACGCGGTTCCTGTCCCAGTCGCCAACAACATCGGCGAAATTCCGGCAGTTCATCGGGGACATCGTGGCCGTCTACCCGGGCCCCGGTCGCCAGGGTCTGCAACTCCAGACGATCGGTGTGCCCGCGGATGAACATCTGCCGCCCGACGAGCCGTATTTCGATGTTCCCGTGCACGAGGGCGACGAAGAGGAACGGCAGGGGGATGACGACCGCCCAGTGAGTATTACAGCTTGTGTATAGTGCGCGTGAACAAAGGATACTTGTTTGCGGATGTGAATCCTGGATTATGTGACTTTTCAGACAACATCGGGCACCACCACCACCACCACCTTCGTCATCGACCCCCAGGACCTAGCCGAGGCGGGGACCAGCGGCCTCACCCCGTCCTCACCTACGCAACATCAGGATCCAGCTAGGCGTCGCCAGGTAGCGAGAGGACGTCGCGGGAGACCCAAGAGGAGACGCTGTTGAAGGTGAGTGGAGGATCTGTTTTCTTTCCGTCGTCAGTTAGAATGTGATAGAGATAGAGAAATGAAATCGTGCGCGGTTTAGGTGTGAGCAGCATCTGTTTTCTTTCCATCGGCAGTTAGAATGTGATAGAGATAGCGAAATAGAAGCGCGCTTGGTATAGAGCGGCGGCAGAGAAAGCGTTGCCGAATTAGCGGTAATAATCGGTCTTTTCTTTGGTCTTTGTCGATAAAAGTGTGGTTAGAATACGGCTTGCTGCCTGTTAGACACGCGATAGGCTTAGCAGAGAGAAAGGGAGCGAGGCGCGAATCCCCATGGCGCTCCCCGGAAGTGGCGGTCGAAAGGTGCCGATCCTCGTGTTTTGGGACGTTTTGGGAGTGTCTAGTAGGTTCTAGAAAACGGCAAAAAATGCCATAGTTTCGAGATTTAGTTCCGAAAATTTTCACTTTTGAATTTTACCCCATTTTTGAGGGTCTCAAATTTTCCACATAGTCATTTTTGGGGGGCCTATATCTCGTGAAGGGTCGCCCGTACGGCCATGGTTCCTTTGACTTTTTTGTTCCTATCGATATGCTCTACAGCTCTGTCAAAGTCCCAATTTGCTACATTTGTCCTAGAATTGTGCCGAGGCGGGGACCAGCGGCCTCACCCCGTCCTCACCTACGCAACATCGGGAATAGGCTAGGCGTCGCCAGGTAACAAAAGGATGTGGCAGGAGAAGCAGGAAAAGACGCTGTTGAAGGTGAGTGTACAATCTGGTTTCAAAACGGTTTTCTATTAGCCTAAGTAGTGACAGTCACTTCCGGAGAGGTAGGTCGGGTGTTTTGGACAAGCCACGAAAGCGGCGCGTAGTACTAGCCGACCGCGATTGAAACCCGAGCGTGTCGGCGAATGAGGGACCTACGCCCCGAGATCAAGGATGAGCGCGGGGTCGTGCGAAAAGGACCTAACTCTGCAACAATTAGACTGTAGTAACATTAGAATAGGTTGATAGGCTTAGCGGTGCTTAATACGGTAGCTGACCGGGCGAGCGAAACCCAGTGTGTCGGCGAATGAGGGGCCCTAGACCCTCCCGAGGTCGAGGAGGAGCGCGGGGTCATGCGAAAAGGACCTAACTCCGATAATTAGACTGCAATAACGTTAGAATAGGTCGATAGGCTTAGCGGTCGATAGGCTTAGTAGAAAGAGCGACGCGACTCGTCGATCCCGATCGCCGGAAATGACGTATGGGATTCTTTACAGGGCTATATCTCGTANTTTCTGGCCTCTATCGCTTGTTTCCTTAAGTCCCCTTCATATCTTTCTCTCAAGTGGGTCCAAATCTGTTTTGTCGTTTTACACGTTAAGATAAGCGCCACTTGTGTGTCGTCCATCGCACATGTTAAAATGCCTCTAGCCTGGGAGTCCGTTTTTTTCCATTTCGCCTCTTCGGCGGGATCCGTAGGTGGGTCGTCTATTAACAGATTTCCTAGATCTCTACTTTCTAGGATGGCCATTATACGGTACTTCCAGCTTGTGAAATTGCTACCCGTAAACTTCGGTAACTGTCCATGTCCTATTTCGGCCATTCTATTCGTTATAACGGTTCGGTTTCTAAGATAGCAAATTTAGGCTTACCGTGGTCGATCGTTCAATCCGGTTGCATCGACGTTGGAATTTTCTTCCTGGGCCCATAACCCTTTGTTGAGTTAATTTCTCATGCTATTCACAATTATTGCAATCCTTTGACAACAAAACAGCTTTATTTCTAACTAGAAGGGTTTAATTAACAAGCTCTACATTAAAGGTAAGCACACCTCGTGCTTCGATCAACGCCACCTAACAGAGATGATTTTTTAATTAATTAAGATGTATCCGCAGCCTTCCCATAGCCAAATTATAGACACGACATTTTCTAGTTTTACGCCTAACATATTTAAAAATTTAATAATAACAAGTTTACAGAGATACCACACTAAACCACAATAAACGAACAACAAGAAACTTTAAATTTTGAAAAATGACAAACATTATTTTTCTAACAAAACATGTCACAGTACGTTAAATGATAAGATAATTTACCTTTTCTACGTAATTTTACAATTTAAATTATTTAATTTTTAATCTGTTTGAATTATTTATTTTATTTTATTTTTTCAGAAATGTTTTGAACAAACAGACAATAGTCAACAGAAATCCATTTCTTCACTTTCCTCATTATCATTTCATTGAAGAATTTCAGGAAATTCACTTGTATAATATTTATTAGAAATTCTCTTATAATTGTAAATTTATATAAATAATTGAATAAACATTAATTTTATAACACGTTTATAATGTAAATTTTCATTTGATTCATATTGTTGAATGCTACTGAATTTTTTTATGATTGGTAATTTGCTGAAGATTCCCAATAAGTCGGAGGGTCAATTTTATACATTTCCATTACTTTATCTAGTCACTGAAAGTTTATGTTTTAATTCTATTTAATTAATATGAAAACAAGAAATTCACAGCTGAAATCATTAAATACAGCTGTACATCTTTACACAATACACTTGTTATAAATAGAAAATTAGTAATCCGACTTATTAAATTAAAAACAAGTACTGAGTGTTGAAAACTTTACATAGAATTTTCTTTAGAAAAAGTGTTCAGGTAAAACCACAGACGTAGCAAATAATGTATTCTCTAATTTGTTGTAATCGTGTTAATAAACAACGTCACACTATGGATAGTGTGTAAATTAAAATAGATTCTAGCGTTTTATTATTGTAATTAATGTAAAATTATTATATTGAGGGAGAGATTTCTGTTGGCAAAGAATGAAAATCGTTAAAATCCGAAACTGGATTTTGTTCGTTAATAGCAATTGGTACAATTGTACAATCAGTACTTTATTTCTGACTGAGGCACAGATACGTTTGCAAACTCATCTTAGATCGTTAAAATGGGGTGCTAAATCAGATTTTTCAGGTTTCAGTAAGCCTGAAGGAATAAAATTCAGCCAATACATAATCAATTTATAATTTTATCGTCAGAAATAGAACAAATTTTACAGAATAAATTGAAAATTTTGTTTATTGCTTATAACTCTATTACAAATGTAAAAGAATTTTCAAAAATTTTGATAAATTATGCAAAAATAAACTTTTGTATGGATTTTACATTATTTGATATTCTTCACAGAATGGTCCAATATTTGGAAAGGATTCTTGTTGTTTTCAGAACTTTTACATAATGATAACAAGAATTTTTGCATCTGTATCAAACTGCATTGAAATTGTGAGAAATCTTCATTTTTTGTCCGTTTAAAATCTTCACAACAATTCATAGAAAATGGAATACAGCTTTGAAATTCGTATAATACGATTAGACTTTTTTTCAGTTGCAGCATGTATGAGTTTAATTTACGAAAATCCTCATCGATTTCGTATGTACAATCATCTCTATTTTGGGGTATCAATAGTTGTAATGTTTTTACTGTTTCGTGCCTTCTAATTATCATTCTCCACCAGCTTTGTATAGCTAAAACGTTTGTTTTAATAGCTAAGAAAGAAGCATCACGGCAAATAGAAATGTGGTATAAATTCAAATTTTCGAAGCGTCTCTCATACCCATCTTTATATATGCCCAACCAAACTCCTATTATAATATATGCTAATCGCTCTCATAAACTCAATACGATATTCGTCCAATGTATAAGAATTTCAATAATAGTAATTTCTATGAAACAATTTCCAATTGTAGAAAGAAGAGACTACAAAATAAGAAAATATTTCAAATTTTTAGTAGAATGTAAAGTTGTGTGTATTTTACAGAATTGGACAAAAATAAACAATGTAAGAAACTTTATATATGATAAGATTTTAAGAATTACTGAACAAAAAATTAATCGCATTTGTAAATGGTATCGAGAGTTGTCTGGTCATAGAAGAGATAATTAAGTACAGGAAAACTTGACTAGTATACCATTTTTCTATTGTCAGAAGATTATCCTGAAGCTTCGATAATGAAGGAATTGATTTTTTAAATAAATGTGATAAGTACCACCTTTTTACTTTACAAATGCCCATGATAATATATTTTTCTACTAAGTAACAATATAAAATATCTATCCCTTCAACTTTTCTCTTCTTTAATTCAATTAGATAATTGATGATACGAGTGAGTGTTTTAAATACGGTCATATCGGACTCAAACAGATGGACTTTTATATCTTTTAGCTGGTGTAAATTCTCGAAAAGACTCATTTTGCGATACCAAAATTGTATATTAGTAATTTCTACTAAATATCTGTTTATAAATATATCAAAAGAAATTGTAGAATAATCGGGATAATCTTTCGTGTCATGTTTGCTACAGATAATGGGCATAAGTTCTGAATCTTCATTACACTTCATGTTTCTATTCTGATATAAATTTTTTGATTTATCATTATTACCATCGTACATTTGATTCTTCATTCGCGTGTGCTTGCTTCTATTACCATTGTTTTCAATGCAGTAATTGTACAAGATATTAAAATTTACGGTCTCTTTGAACCACTTCTGAATTATAACACTACAAATACGTTCCATTATTTGCTTTCTATACACAGATCGCAAATGCCATCGCTGAATTATAAATGCATATATTTTGTTATTTCCTTCCAATTCTGCCTTGAATGTAGCTGATTTATGCTTCGATAATCTTCTTTCTGGCTTAAAATTAACAAGTCTTTTTCATTGACTTTCTTCTAATATATAACTGTCATCGCGTTGTATACGATAAATAATTTTCAATAAATGTTAGTTCATGATGTACTTAAGCATACTCTACCATCTTTTCATCGCCATACTAAAAAGTAAAGCGTAACTAGTTTAACCGTACTTTACCGCCATTATTATTATTATGTAAAAAATAGCGGTTTACGTCTCATAACAATCTTTAAAAGTACTAAAATCAACTGTTTCATCAAAACACGGAAAAAAAAATAGATAATGTACTTCGTAAGTATTCGCGATCCATATTCGCGATCCATAAATTCGTATTACAACGTTGACACCATGTAATACGAATTTACTACTAGTTCAATGACAAAAACTACAACAGGAAACATACAAAAAGGAAGCATTGCATGATGTCT